CCAGGACCGGGACTGGACAGCCCTGCTACAGACACACTGACCCTCCAGGACCGGGACTGGACAGCCCTGCTACAGACACACTGACCCTCCAGGACTGGAAGGTAGGACTGGGGGCTGGCTGGATATATTTGCTATCCAAGCAGCACATGGAAGAACTGAAGTGATCATCACAGAGATCTAGGCCAGGGACAAGCAATCCCAGTCTTAGAGAGCCAGGTTTAGGTCTGCAGGTTTAAGTCCCTTAAGCCATTCTTGCAATAATGAGCTGGGCTGGCGTTGGCGTAGACCAGTCTTCCAGAACCTGGACTGCCCTGTATTTCCAATTACACCCCAGCCCTCTCACGCTGCCAGCTTCAGCTTTGCAGGTGCTCATGCGTCGCAGTTCAGTTTCCCTTTGTGTGAACAAATTATGTTTTACAGTCCCCCCCCCCGACCCCCAAACGTAGATTCCGATATCCGAAGAATAACGGCGCCCAATTGGAAACCGCGTCCTGCGTGTTTATTGGACAGGTTAGGCGTGGAGAGTTTTGGCTCGACGCGCTTGGGCGAGACTCGGCCCCCATAGGACGAGGAGGGTAGGAGCCCCTGCAGAGTGAAATGAGCTGTGGGGGAGAGCAGCACCAGCGGAGGGGGCTGCTGTCATTTCTATAGCATGTCAGGAAGTGACGTCATGCGGGATTACAAGTTAGCGCAGCGGAGAGGAAGGGGGGTTTGGTTGCCTCCATTCCTCCCGCACACTCCTGACGAACTCCATTTACATTTCGAGAGCAAACACATCCTTTCAGCAGGACTCATAAACACAACAAAAGAGCCATGTGTTCACAGCTTATCCATACATTTCATTTCCAAATAATCAGTTTGCTAAACGTATAAACTCAACTTGGACACTTGCATATCTGTGACACCCCACACTTGGCAGAATAGTTTTAAGACCCGCAAATATAGATGCGAGTAGGATGATTGCTTATTACTGCAGCTGTGTGTATGCACTGGCCTCTGAGGACAAAAAGCCAGTGCTCTAATGAGCAGGCTGGGCTGGGCTGAGTCAAAATGTTGTGACGTTGGGATGCTGAGGCATTGACGTAGATGGGTGGACAGTATCCTGGCTGCAGTTGTGATTCACAGACTGGGTCAGCCTGTGACAGACAGCCTGATGGAGACCACAGCAGTCACACATCGCCACCCTGGCATGATGGGTATCTCCCGCTGGGGTGCCACTGGTGTCTAGTCTTCCCAGCATCCCCAGCTGTAGCAGACACACTTGTAAGAGCTCAGGACTGGGATGAAGGGACCTGGGCTTCCTGCCAACATGAGCTCAGTGCTGAATACACAGCACAGAGCACTACACTGGGCATTACAACAATCGTGCAGTAATTGCCAAATGCTCACTGAACGATCCATGTCATGTCATTTACCGAACTGCTTTATACCGTACGGTTTCGCGGGAAGCCGGAGCCTACCCGGCAAGCAACGAGCACAAGGCCGGGTACACCCTGGGCATTAAGACTCCCATAGACCACAGGGTGAGTGTGCTGTCCAGGCTCAGCCCTGCTGAGCTCCAGTGGGCGAGCTGCAGGGTGAAATGGCTGCTGGCTGAGCGATCCAATACGCCCATAATTCAATTGGATCATCTGATGCAAAGAATCTTCGGTGACAGAATTTGTGATCCTCAGACATGAGATAGAAAACTATACAGGCTTTCAAAGTAGCTTCCATATCGGGCGAGACTCTCTGATGTGTGCCTCGTTGAGGAAGGTGGCTGAGAGACATCTGTAAGGCTGTCAGGACCAGAGTGGTAGCTGTACTGTACTGTCTGATATTCACCTCTCCTGCGGGCACTGCACTTATTCTAACTATGGATATCAATTATGGAGATGAATGAGTTGAAATGCTTTTTTTTTTTATCTGAGAAAATAAAAAAGTATTGACACAGCTTTCCAGCTCCCCCAGACTCTCTTGTTCTAAAGAAAACAACAGAGACTTACCTTATTACCATCACAGAAGCTATAGCATCGAGAAAGAGAAATATTACATGAATAATAATCATTTAACTCAGCTGAAGTAATTTTACTTGGATACCAGTGCCTTTATTTTGTCCATATTTGTGTTGGAGGGCGATGGGCTCTATTGAAGGACTGAACTGGCCTTTTGGGAGTAGTGTGTTCCAGTAACTGGATGTGAACCTCTCTACTTCTCAATTTGTTGTTCTAACCTCTCTCTCCTGTGTCAGTTTCCTCTCCTCTCCAAATGGACAAGACTGCAGCCTTCTTTAGATGTCTTTTTTTTTCTTTCATTTCTGCTTTTCGTACCGTCAGAAATACATGGGAATGTGAATCTCCAGGCCTTTAACTAATGTTTGTTTAATGTCACAGGAACTGCTTACATTCATTTGTCCTGGAGGCCCCTGATACAGGAGATACAGAATGAATGAAAAGTGTAGTATTTGTCTTGAAGTTCTTGTTCCTATTTGAGTATTTTGTAGTCTACGAAACTGGTGAGCTGCCTGAAGAACAGTGTGATGACATTGTTAGACGTTTTTCATGAAACAAAAGGGATCCTTTCTTAAGGGCATCAGACCCAGAAGAAAAATCAATAGTGCAGGAGAAGTCATTAAAATACATCCGCATATCTAACTCCACCAAATGGCTATGACCTTTGCCCTCAGTATATGATATGGCTGTGATCTTTGCCCTGAGTCCAACACAAAATTATATAGTGTATTATAAGTGTATAATGACATCTTGAAAAGCGTACAGTTGGGGCAGTAAACATATATTGCACTGCATTCTGTAAAAAGAAAAATACTTTTCTTACATCGGTCATCTAATTTGAACTCTCTTATGACCCAAAAACATTTTTTTGCTTTTTTTTTTTGTCAACCTTAGTATCTGGTTCACAATATTTAACTCGAATAACATTTCGTGACGGCTGTGGGAGGCCAGCTGGCCTAAGAGGAGGCTGTTGTTACAGCTGTCCTGCCACTAGAGGCGCAAAACAGCCTCTAATCGTTGTAAATAGATTAGATGGTGGTGTGAGTTGATTAGATTATCGGTGAAGGGTATATGTGATCATTATTGTAAGCTTAGGTCCTGTTCTGATTCGTTGTGGGGAAAACGTGCCTGGGAAAGAGAGGATATCAGGAACAGAGAAGGGAAGAACGCAGGAGGTGTAAATATGGCTGTTCAGCAATAAACTGCACAGGGAATATCCGTCTCTATCCAGTTCCCAACTGTCCAGGCAGAGCGTTTAACCACCAGCGCACAAAGCCTACAGTTACATTATCACATGGTTTTAATTCGTTTTCTGCTATACTAGAGGTGTGCATGTTGGTAGTGATGTTTGAGTGTTTTTGAACTTTTTGTTGTCTAAACCAAAGCCTCCCATACTTGCTTTGACTTTTCAATGCGCACCTGTCTCTGGAATTGTACTTGGTATGGGTGGAGTGTGTCACAACATCTTAAAACACTCAATTAAAAATGTAAATATCACTGTTTTATTAGGAGAATTGCTTTGCGTTCATTGAGAATTGAGGAGTGTAACTCACAGCACTGTGCACTGTGCATCTGACATAAAACTGTCTGGAGACACAGTGCTTTGCACAAGTATTCACACCCTGCCTGTGATGATGATCCAATTGCACTAAATTACAAAATAATGCTTACATATTTTTTTAAACTTAATATTTTTTTATTTAATTTGCTTGAAATTGGCTACCTGACTGAAGTAGGTCACAGAGACAGGCGTATTTATTCTGAAACCATGAGAACCACTATTTTTGCACACAGATAGAAGCCACTCAACTAATTGTGTAACTCCTAATTCTGTGCACCAAAATTC